CCCCCCCTGCTCCCCCAGCAGAGTTACTGTTTAACAGGTGCCTGCGGCTGGAACAAGCTGATTAGGCAGAACAGCAACTTGAGCAGCAATTAAAGTGCCTTTGTCCCACCTCAGCCCCTCTGGCAAGGCGTAAGGAACCCACAGATCACTGGGCAGAGGCCTCCTGTGCGCCAATCCTCTCCGCTCACCCCCAGCAGCGCCAGGACGTCCTGCAGCCCGCCCAGCCACAGGCCCTGGGGACTAGGCCACAGGCCACAGGCCTGGGGGCCAGAGGAACAGCACAGGACCATGGCAGCCTGCCCTGGGAGCACGGGAGAGGAGAGGTGCTGAGAGCTGGCCGGGAGCCCTCCGCTCTCCCCCGTTTCTCCTGGCCCGGCCCTCGCCGTTCGGGGCTGGGCGCTGCACGTCTATGCTGAGGATCCTGGTGGGTTACCGCTGCCTGGGAGCCACAGTTCTGGGCTGCTGATGCCCATTGGGGTGTTTCCTCAGGCAGGAGCTGTCTGGTGGAAACTGACCCATCCCCCCCCCCCTCACCCCCCCCCAGGAGCCGGCCAGCAGGGCCCAGCACTCAGGAAAGGCAGAGTAGGAGCTGTTTCAAAATATCAGCTCACATGTGTCACCAGCTCATAGGAAAATCCATCCCCAACCTCTCCTCTCCACTGGGTTCTTGTTCCAGTGCGATCGGGTGATAGAGCGGGGCCAGAGGGAGCCTGACCCGCCCCGCACAGATCCCCGGGTGGGACGGAGCTAGGAGTGGGAGTGGGGCCGTGGAGTAGGTCTGCCCTGCAGTCAGGGGTGCGGCTGCAGCACGTCTGGCCACACCCGAGCTGGCTTTGGTCTAACTCCAGAACCTGAGAGCAGTGACGCTGCGGCAGCACGGAGTGTCCACGCCTGGCTGGGACTCGACCGGCTCGCCCTGCTGCCACGCCTGCCCTGCTACTGCCATGGCGCTAGCGGGAGCAGAGCCAGCTCAGGGACGTCTGGCCACACCTCTGATTGCAGGGCAGACGCACCCACTGGTTCTAACATTTGCACTAATAGAGGCGGGTGCGATACCTGCACTCACCTGCCCCTCACGTGCTAGATGAGCTGCCAGCTCGGGCACGGCATTCATGTCTGGGGGCCTTCGGGGGAAAGCCTTGGCCAGCTGGGTACCGTGGTGGCCAGGTGGAGGACGCTGCCCCGTCTCACTCCCATTTGCGCTCTGACCCCAG